GTACTACCGTGGAAGGGGCTCAGCTGGTACACGAGGTCCAGGCGCGTCGCATCTATCGTTCGCTGGTGAAGAGTTTAGACGTGGTCAAGTCGAGACCGCTGCACGTCGTTGGCACGACGAGGGTCACAATCGAGAGGCGCAGCTCCGTGACGACGCCAACGATCTCAATGTGCGCGTAGCGGGCGTGATGGGGCCGCAGCCGAACCACGTCTCGGAGGCCAACGAGCGGTCGGGCTTCGCGGACGCCAGGCACGTCGAGGGTGACAACCATTGCGTCACTGCGGTGGTTGCGATGCGACTTGGGCACGCGAAGCTGGACGTCCTTCACAGCAGGCATGAGCACGAGTTGTGTAGACAAGCGGCGCGGACATGGAGATCGTAGGCAGTGGCGTCGTGGCGCATCTGCATCTCTTCGAGTCGGATGCATGTCTGCTGCTTGAACACATAGGGGTCGAGCTGCTGCAACATGGCGGGTTGCGTCGTTTCGAGCGTCTGGATTGCCATGGCCGGCACCGGCGGCGAATCAGCGTACTTGAGCGCCACGGGCTCCACGAGCATCGAGAGCGCCGACGTGAACGGCCACGCGGTCTCGGCCAGTGACGCAACGACGTCGACAGGTGCCTGGAACGCCTCGCGCCACTCGAGCGGTACAAAGGCGCTGGCTTCGGCGTCCAGGGACGACTCTACGTCGCCGACCCGCGCCGGCACGAGCCGCAGCGGGTGGAGCACCACAAACGAGTGGGTCGTGAATTGCACGAGGCTGCCGACGCGCGGAAACTCAAAGACGAGGACGAGGTGCGTCTCGATCGGCGCCGAGGTCGGAAGCGCGCGCGCACTGTCGTGGTGCAAGCCAATCTAGAGACGAGGAGTCGTGGTGCAAGCCACAAGTGGCACACATGTACCTGCAGCCGAAGCGGCGCGCCTGAGAGAGACATGGGCGCTGGATGCGTCACGTTGAAGACATTCGCGTGGTCCAGAACCCAGGCGGACGCAAGCGCGATTGGAAACCTGCCCGTGTTGCGGAGCGTGAGGTGCTCAACCACGTCGCAACCACGTACGATGGATCTGGCGGACGTCGTCCTACGTATCGCGCTTCATCACAGAGCCTTTCAAGGCGAAGGCGTACGCAGTGCCAAGGTCGATGTAGCCAAACTGCGTCAACGACGCGCTGCGCGTGATGCCAAACTTGTCGCAGGTGAGCTGCTCAGAGAGCCCGGGCGTCTGGAGCGCGGACCGCAGCTCGTCACGCCACTGGGGCGGCACGGTCGGCGCGACCTACGCACGCTCGTCACGCTCGTCGGCGTGGTCGTAGGGCGTCCTACCGCATGGGGCATCGGTGTCACCAGTGCGAAATCTGATTGACGCGTGCAGTCAATCAGCTCGAGTTTGGACCAGAATAAAAACACGCAGAATGTCATACAAAATCTGCACAGTCCTAATGCTGCTATATAGCAAAGAGGGGTGTTTTTAGATCGCGCTATCGCGTGCATTTTGGACAGATCGCGCCCGAGGCTGGCTTGTCGCACAAGGACGCAGGCTCGCATGGCAACGAGTGTCGTTGGCGAGGTCGTGCGCCTGTAGTGCCACGTGTGGAAGTGGGCCAGCACGGGATCAGAGGCTCGACTTTGACCGTCTTGATTCACGGATCATCGGTAAGATGGTGGCGCAGTGTAGCAACATCGCCAACGTCCGAGAAGGCTTCCAGAGGACAGCTCATGGATCGTCGCGCAGGCCAAGGCCCACCTCGTAAACCCATTGCGCTCGTGCAAGTGCCGAGATGCATGCTGGGGCAACTTCACTGCGCTGTTCGACCTCGCGTGCCGGTTGGTTATATTGTGAGCGCGACTCGACTTGGCAGTGGGCCAAGGACACGATCGCACGCAACGCGGGCGTGTCCTCCAAGCAGCACGGTGCATATTATCTAGCGGTTATCCATGCGAGTGCGCCGGCGGCGAATCTACTAAGTTCTACCCTCCTTATGCGACGACGGCCCAGTCGCGCTTCAGGACGCCATCGACACGGCGCTCCTTGCTATACACACATGCCTATCGTGAGCGACAGGACAGCAACGCGCTTGTACATACCCTTCGCTGACGCCACGGAAGACCTTGATGCCGTAAGCCTTGCCGTGCTTAAGGTCCTGCGACGGCGCAATGCGCGTGATCTCGACGTAGGACGAGGCTTCCGCCGTCTACACGACGCATGAGCTTCCTGTATGGGCATGCGCGGAGGGCGTCTCTACCTCGAAGCGCTTCCAGATCCCGCGGGTGACCTTCTGGCCGACGCCAAAGTTGCGCTTGCTGCAGATCGCTTGGAACAAGTTGGCCATGCTTGGAAATGATGATGACTGGTGTTTGGTCGATCAGCGATTCTGCGTGCTGGATTGGCTGAAATTAGGAGCAATAACGAGCGTGATTGGCTTAACTGCCTCTAAAACAGCGAATAGCAATGCGATGTATCAGATAATGGCCGACCAGATAATGGCCGGTCGTCTCTTGCTCCAGAGTTCTCAACATGCAAGGACGGTAGGCACAGACGGACGGCGTGAATCGGTTGACGTGGATCGGCGGCATGCCTTGCCTGTGGCCTCTTGAGTACCAATAGCACTATCCAGTCCGCACCATGACGCAGGGCACAGGTTCTATTAACAACAATCGCCAAGTCAACACGAAGCTGCGCCAGCAGTGCTCAAGTGAAATGCGTTTATGAACCGAATAAAAATGAACCTGAGGAAGTCTACATGATGGAGCAGCTGCACGCGGCGCTCTTCTCGGCGGCCTTGTTCAAGGACGGCGTCGGGCCGTTGATCGAGCGCGTAGGCGCGTTGTCGTAGCCAGCGACAACACCGCGGGGCTTGGCCTCGATGCCGCGCGACTTGACTTCAATGCCACGGGCCTTGGCTTCGACCTGGACAGCCTCCTTGACAGCCTCGACCTTGGCCTCGACCTTGGCCTCCGTGGGCTTGGCGGCCTCGACCTTGACCTCCGTGGGCTTGGCGGCGTCGACAGCCTTGGGCGACTCGGTGGGCTTAGCAGCAGCCACAACGGCAATGCCAGCGACGGCGGCGACACCAACGGCGGCAGCCGCAGCGACAGCAATGTCGTCCGACTTGGTGACGTCGGCAACGACCGACTTCGTTTCAGCCTGGATGGCCTCGACAACCGGAGCCTGCTCGACAGCCACGGGGGCGGCAACATCAACGACAGGGGCAGCAACTTCAACAACCGGGGCAGCGACTTCAACGGAAGCTTCGACGACCGGAGCGACAACCTCGACGGGGGCTTCGACGACCGGGGCAGCAGCTTCAACGACGGCTTCGACGACCGGGGCGACAGCCTCAACGGGGGCTTCGACGACCTGGGTCTCGGCTTCAACGACGGCCTCGACAATCGTAGCTTCAGCCTCGACAACCTGGGTCTCGGCTTCGGCGACGACGACGACGGGCTCTTCAGCAATTGGTTCATCCACGAGCACGGGCTCGTCGCCAGCGACGGGGGTTTCGCTTCAACCACGGCTTCGACAACGGGCTCCTCGGTGGCAGCGATGGCGTCTTCCTCGACAGCAGTCTCCACGACGGCAACTTCTTCGACGACGACACCTTCCTCCTCCGACGAGCCGGCCTCTTCAACGATGACGCCTTCTTCCTCGGACGAGGCAGCCTCTTCGACGACGACAGCCTCCTCGACGAGGGCCTCTTTCTCGACCACGGCCACTTCCTCGACCACGGCCTCTTCCTCAGCCACGGCCTCCTCGACAACAGCTTCCTCAACGGCGGCTTCCTCGACGGCGGCTTCCTCGACGGCAGCCTCTTCTTCGACGACGGCCTCTTCCTCAACGACGGCCTCTTCATC